TTTACCTCTTTGTGTTGTTTGCAGTCTGTGGATGTCATTGAGTTCCTCTTCAGGTAAGTCATTCACCAGAGATCACTTCCAGCTGAGAAGTCTGTGATGACTGTATTTAGAGCTTTTCCATGTACAGGTGGGAAGTAGCAAGTCCCTTCTGGAGCAGGTCCAAGAAGAGGTTGTGAGTAAAAAAACAGCCTGTTGCTGCTTATTGTTCTGGTTCTGACTGTTATTGTATTTATTAAGATTTTTATTATTGTTAGTATAGTTTATTTATTGTAAAGAGTGTCGTTTATTTAAAATATCATCCAAATATTTTGATTGTATTTATTTTATACAAACTTATTATTTACTTGGCATATTTTCAAAATAAACATTTTGTAAGTCTATATATATATATATATATATATATATATTTTATAATTTTTTATATAAAGGCATTTAAAACCCTTCCCACATTCTTGCAATATTCTAAACAATGTTTCTCAACTCTAAACGCTCTAAAATACACAGAATGTCATGATTTCAGCTCTCTGCTACTTGCCAGCGCTCTCGGCCATGCCCACTTCTCCACTGCAGAGCACAGATCGACAGAGGAGGAAGGAGGAGCTGCAGGAGGAAGTTTCTCCTGTAGTGTGGCCTGCACACAGGTTCAGCAGGTGCTAAATAATTTAAAATAATTCATTTTAAATAAAAATTCCATGCCGATGGTGCGGCTCATCCATTAATCAGCCAATTGTGTGTCATGTCCAGTCTTACTTTGAAAAACCGTGATAGAGGGAGTCAGCGAAAAGCAAACTGTGATGTAGTGAGGGACTACTGTACAACTCAACAGCTATTAAGAGCAAAAACACACATTTTGAACATGTTTAAAATCCAAGCATCAAGATGACAAGCCTCTACAATCCATCCATCCATTATCTTTTATCTGCGTCTTCCATTTTGGGTCACGGGGGTCGCCAGTGCCCATGTCCAGCAATCACTGGTACACTCTGGACAGGTCTCCAGTCCATCACAGGGACACATAGAGTCAAATGAGACAAACAACCATTCACTCTCTCACTCACACCTAGGGACAAGTGAGAGTTACTAATAACATGCATGTTTTTGGTCTGTGGGAGGAAACCGGAGTACCCGGAGAAAACCCACGCATGCACAGAGAGAACATGCAAACTCCACACAGAAAGGCACCACCGACTGGGATTTCAACCAGCAACCTTCTCGCTGAGAGGCAGCAGCTCTACCAGTTGCACCACCGTGCTGCCCAAAATTGAGAATTCTCTCAGTAAAATTTAAAAAATCTTGTTTTTTTTAGTTGTGAGTTCATTGAACTATTGCTTTTATCTTTAATTATTATTTTTAATTAATTGTTCTTGACTTTTGGCAGTTTATTTTAATAAATACATTTTACACTAATTAATCACAACAGAACAATATAACAGAGAGAAAAATCAGATCACTACATGTATTAAATTGTACATCAGGGCGATTCAACTGGTGGCCCACAGGCAAGACCCGGCCTGCGGGTGACTTATGTCCGGCCAGCTAAATGAGTTCCTTAATTAAAAAAAAAAAATCTGTGAGAGAGACCTTTAAATAAATTAAAATGGCAAATATTTCAGTCAGAGAGACAATCCTGTTTTGAGCCCATCTCAATTTTCAATATTTTCATAAGTACGCTCTATGAAGAGGCCCCTTCCCACTGAAAGCGTTAACTTACACAACACTAAGCCAGGCCAGGCACTGTGACTTCATTCTTCAATGGGGATGCTCACTGTTAACGTCTCGGTGCTTTCCCCCTTATACATACTGGGAACGACTTCAACATAAATACCAAAACAAACCAGAACAGGACAACAACAAGAACAAACCATTTCCACACTCAGAAACATTGCACATATAATTCCCAAAAGGCTACCCAGCATGCTTTGCAGCTCACATAGTCTCTTTGGGACTCTCACAGAGAGAAACTATGCGAGTTTGGGGAAAATAAAATAAAGTTTAAAAGAAACATTTTTGCTTTAATCTGGGGTCTACAAAATTCTGTTTTGGCGTTAATGATGTTTAATTATCTCCATTATTATCTTTATGCTCACAGCTGAACATGCATCAGGACAATGTTTAATTTTAATAATAATAATAATAATAATGTCATCACAATGTCAGCACTGTATGTTTCCATACAATGGCGAAATTAGTCTCTGCATTTAACCCATCCACCACCAGGTGGTGCAGTGGGCAGCTATTGAAAGCGCCCGGGGGACATTTTGGGGATGAGACGTGCTGCCCAGAGACGCCACGTGATGTGCAGTGACTGGGGATCGAACCTGGGACTCTCGGGTCCCAAGCCGGCTGCCCTGCCTCTACACCATCTCGGCCCCATCGAATAAATTAGCAGAGACACAAGTTTAAAGGCTGCGTGTTCTCACCCGGACTCGCTGTTTCTCTCACTCCCAATGTGCAGGAAGTTCTGATAAACTGATCAGTGTGTCACTCTGATCAAACAACAACAAAAAGATTTATTACTGAATGAATATTGATGATAAAGACACACAGCAGATTTGTACTTGGTTTAAAAAAATTACCACAAATACGATTGATTGAGGTAATTCATTGTAATAAATGGTATGAAGGAGACATTCAACACACATGCATCCTGCTCGCTCCTGGACAGTGGACCCCAAGTACTTGAAGTCCTGCACCTTTGTGACCTCTGCTCCTTGTAGCCTCACTGTTCCACCTCCTCCCTCTCACTCACACACGTGCTCTGTCTTACTACGGCTCAATTTCATTCCTCTTCTTTCAAGTCTGTACACCCCCCTCTCCAAGTTCTTAAAGTTGTTATGGTAGACAAAAACTTTATTCATATTCAGGTCTCTCTTGTAAATGAGTCCCCGAGGCTCAGTGGGATTAACCTGTATGAATAAAGGTTGAATGAATGTCTCTAAAAAAACTGATGGCTGCATGCTGTGATTATTTCCAGAAGACCCAGCAATTTCAATGAAATCCAGATAGAAATAACAACAACAAAAAAAAAGTACAGTAAAACTTCCCAACAGAGCTTATTTTCATCCACCACCTTTTATTATGTTCTCCATACTGCAGTTTCTCTGTTTATAAATGGCTCTAACTAGTGTTTACAACTTGTGTAAATGACAGTGTTTCTGCTCTGTGTTACTTCAGCTGTAGTACATCTGTGTCCTCTGTCAGAGGATGATAAACTTACACTGACAAAGCATATACAGGGATAAACTCTAAATGTTGGAGCGGACATAAAGTAAATATCAAAGGAGCAGTTATATTGTGTTAGTCATCTGTAGAGGAGAATCACTCCCTCCCTAAAGCTGTACTGAAAGTTCACATTTAAGGACAAAAGATGAAATACCGAAAGGTCAAGAATGTTTGTATATTTCCAGTGAACACTGGTCAGCGTTTTCAACTGAATACTGAATAGAGAAAACTACTGCACATGAACAGGACAGCTAATCTGTTTGCAAAAGAATGTACTACATTTCTACTACATGTCAGAACTTGGACAAACACAACAAAACAAAACAAACTAAACTATATATTTATGCAGATAATGATTCTGATTTTATCTTTTACAACAGAGTCAGTGAGAGTTCTCAATGTCTTTACAGAGTGCTAACATTAACAACAATAAAGATGGTCAAAGTGTCTCCATCTTCTCCCGTTTTCCAAAATTTAAGTCCGGTTTTCTTTTTGGGTGCTGCCATGTTATATTTTTCGAGCTGGAATCAGCACAATAAGGATGTGCAGTACAAAAGTGCCAAACATTTCAGCAACAAAAGAAATCGTCCAGATGACCTTACTGAACATTGTTGGATTTATACCTGGATTAATGAGCATGGACTCTGGTGAATCAGCATACACATATTATACTGATATATCGACTGTCCCCACCTTCTTTCATTGTTGGGAACTATAGTCAGCAGGGAACTGTTTTATGGAAGCTACCATGTCGTATCTTAGTTGATCAGACTTATATTGCCAGACTTAGGAATCAACATAAAATAACATCTGAGAAAATTATCTCGAGTGCATTTTTATTTTTTAAATTAGGAAAATATTGTGATTGTTTACAGGGGCAATACTTAAAACATAAACTGCAACCAGCCAACTAACGGCATTCATCCTTTGTGGCTTTAACTTCTAGCTTTTAATCCTGTCTAGATATAACCCATCTCAGTGTTAGTTATAATGAGTGCAATACCTATAAACTCTTCTTCTGCTTCCATATCTGCAGCATAGCATTATTGTTCTGTAGCATTAAAGGATTAATCTTGCCCAGTTGTACTTTTCAACATCAAACCAAAAAAACTTGTTTAAAACATTTGTCTGTTTACCACTTTATAAAAAACAAAAAAAAACTTGAGTTCAAGCTACAAGAGTAAAGATTAATTCTTGAATGCGTTTCACTGCTTGGGTTTGTTACTTTGGTTTGACTTGTATGTTTATAGAGATTAATTGGAATTATAAGAGCAGCATATTGTGCAATGTGAAACTCAACATACAGTGGTAGGAGGGTAAACAGCTCTGCTGTTTTCCACACTCCTCAGGTCCCTATTAGACCCCGATGCCTACACAGCATTTATTGACTGCACTCCCAGCAGAATTAACAGATTGGATCACAGCCTAAAGCCTGAAGCCCAAAGCAGCTGTGAGGAGATTACAAATGGTAGGAAAGGAACACTTTGTATCTGAGAGAAATTTCCTACTAGACGAAAGCAACATGCCATCAACAAAAACGGGTAAATCATGTCATTTGGACCAGTTTTTTTTTTTTTTTTGCTGTTGTTGTTACCTACCTGGATAATTGAGCTTACAACCCCTTTTCTATAGGTCATCAAAAGTTAAATATGAAGAACAAAACAAATTCACATGCATCTTGGCTCTTTGAAAAAGCAATTAGTATTTATTATTCAATTAGTTCCTTTTAGGAAACATTAAGTTACTACACCAGAGGAGGATCCAAGGCTGTAACTTACCGTCAGAAGTTCTTTCTGGAAGGACTTCCTGTCTTTGCTCTCGGCATTGTTGCAATCCTCTTTCAAACTCTCCAGCACCGATGCCACCCTTTCTGGTTCGCTGTCCAGCTCAGCGCGGCAGAAATGCATCAAGGGTAGGTTGACATATCCGAGGGCGTCTGCAAACACTTGCCAGTTGCCAATGTTCTCCATCAGTACAGTTCTTACAGAGGCATAAATGTAAGTAAGGAACTTACAGGGCTTTAGAATTTGCTCTAATAACACTGATGTTGTAAGATCAGGCCCATTAAAATAAATGGGTTTAACTTTACCGACCACTAGAATATTCTTAGCATGAACAAGCCCTATTTTGCCCTGATAATATCCAATGTACCACTCCTTTGTCCACAACTGACCCTTCAGCTTAATTTTCTCCTCACTCAGTAGAGCTATAAAGTCTCCTTTTTTGTACTCAAGCAAGTATTGATTTTTTGTTTGCCGGATTACAGTTTTGATTAATTTCCCAAACTTCAGGTTGTTTATTTTCCTGTCTTGGAAAACTGGGTACTTGGTGGCAACAGCAAGAGGAGACAAAACTATTTTCCCCAATTCCTTCTTCTTCAGAAATCGACGTTGCACTGATGTCTTTGGGCCTGTCTTGGGTGGTGGTGTTGGTGTTTGTACACAAAACTGAGCAAGTATACAATCTTGATCATCTTTGACTTGGATTCTTAAGGTAAAATCAGAAACATCTTCAGCAATGCGTGAAGAAATTATATAAATCAGCCGGCTAACTTTGCCTAGCTTAACCTGAAAGCCCCGAACAACTCTGGCCTGTTCACTAGCCTTTACTTCATAGTTAGCCATGTTGGAGTAAACTCCAACATCTAGATCTTGTGGTTTGGACAATACAAACTGGTGTTTACCCCAAAGCTGCAGCACAACAGGTGGGGCAGACTGTGCCTGTTTTCCAACCTCATTCACCAGAAGAGTATTTGGGGCACAATCATGGCCAAACATTGCAATGACTGTTTTGAAGGATGGGTGAATATGTTTTGGACCATATACTCCTAAGGTGATTTTTTTGACTACATGTTCCCAGACTGTGGAGTCTGGAGGGATGGACTGAGCCTGGGCCACCACACACACATAAATACATGGTTCAAGGTTGTCTAGGCACACCTGAACTGTGTTCTCATACATGTATGAATGAGGAATAGGAGTATAAGGTCCCTCTTTACAATCACTCCTGACACATAAGACTTTGGTTGTCTGCCTACTCTCCATTTTTACCACAACAGATACTTTCATCTCCAAGGTAATGGTAGTTTTGGTTTCCATGTTGCTAAGTTTGATTTCTACCACAGGGCTGACAGTAGTACAGCGATCATTGTTGAGCTCCAGAGGTGGGTCAAGCAGAGCTTTCATTGAGATCTGTTGTGTGTCCCCATGTAAAACGTGGCCCTCAGGTATGTGGATGCTGATGTTGGTGTCAGGAAGTTGGACAGCACCTCCTGAGCTGTCCAGACGGCATACAATGTTGGTCTCCACTGGCTGTGTTTGACCCCAACCTGGGTTATGACCCAACGAATCCAGGTCATGGCAGGATCTGGCCAACTTGCGGTGGGTTAGCCAGGCTGTACGAAAATCCTCCCTGCTCTGAAACTGTTCTGGTGCTGGTGCTTTGAGTCCTCCAAAGAAACCAGTGGTGGATTCAGGGGCATTTGTCTGAGCCTGAAGAATGGACAATTCAGACAAACTGTAGGACCGTTTGCTTCTAAAAAATGGGTTGTCTCTGTGTAATGTTTGCCCTGCACCCACAGTTGGACTAAGAGGGTTCAACTTAAAGATATTACCACTAAAGTCATTGTCTGCAGCATTTCTGGTTGAACTGGGTGAAGAGAATGTATCAAACAGAAGAAGATCAACACATTTCTCATTGCTGTTCTGATCAAGTGATCTCTGATGTCCCCCATTTAGAAAAGGGTTTGTAGAGGTATGGGATGTTGCAAAAGGATTTCCATTTTGGAAGGTGGTTGGTTTCAAAATCACTCCTGTCCATTCTCCCAAAAGATCCATTTCTTTAGCCGCCTCCTCACTACCGTCTCCCACCATGTCAATCATCCCACTGTCACTGAAAGACGAGTCTCTATAATTGATAGGCTGCACATATGCTGCAGGGATGTAGCCCATCTCTGTGTTGTTGTGGGCATACCACCACTCTCCACCCGATGAATCAAGAACATAAAGGCGATCCCCTTTGGAGAACTTGAGAGTGGTGAAACTAGATGGGCAATAGTCCTTTATGGCAACAACTTCCCTGGCAGTGCCAAAAGAGGCAGTGGCATCCAGTCGTAAGGCACTGGGAGAAGGCACTGGAAAAGACAGAACCATGTCAGGTATAGGCAGATGTTATAAACTCATCAAACATTTTTCTACATGTGTAGAAGTGTATTAAATGCATGTGTAAATTGAAATATTTAATAATAAAACAGATCATAGAATAAAATATTACAAGTAAAACATTGTTATAAAAATGAACAAAGAAACACATACAGCTCATTTTGTTTGCCTAATTTACAAATTCATATAATATATGAATGTGAATAGTGTATTTTTCAAGTCAACATCCACAAAGCTGTTAAATATCCCAATAAAGAGTGCTCCATTTCTAATGCCCCTTTTCCATTAGTACCTTTAGTACCGGTACAGCACGGTTTGGCTCGGGTCGGTACGGTACACATTGTGTTTCCATTACGCTTTCAGTACCGGTTCCAGTGTAGTGGGTGGGATTCAAATTGACATCACGCGCCTCACCAGCTGGTGGCGGTGAGACGCTAAAACAGGTTTCAGTACAGGATGAGAATTTATTTTGGTTTCTGGTACTTTGTAAATTAAAAATAATACAGATTATTAAAATGATTGAATTAAACACACACACACACACACACACACACACACACACACACATATATATATATATATATAAAATTCCTGCTAATGAACTTTAGTTCACCATTAAATCTCTAATGAACCAGATTCTACAAAAACATCAATATTTGAAATTTTATACATTTTCTTCATCATTTGATGTATTTGCACTAATTGCGTCTACTTTTATTGTTCCAATTTAGATATGTTTTTTTTTTCTCTCTTGTTCACATATTTTTTCAGAATCAGAATAAGCTTTATTATCACTGCACCGAAATACGAGAATATATACGTACAGCCGTCTGAAGGATGGATGGAGTGTACGAAGCTGCTGCTATAAGCGCGGACTTCTTATTCTTTTCAGAATATATTTTTTAGATAGAAAAATGGACAAAGCCATGAGGAGAGGGGTAGTGGTATTACCAAAAAAGATATCTTCACACCTTGTCCTAACAGGACACGATTTAAGACATCAAAATAACTCTGCCAGCAAGCACATTTATGAACACGTTACATATGCATTTACAACCAGGCGGTCCATGAAGCATTAACAGATAGTCCATTGTCCTGATAAGATGATGGTCAGCTGGCACAGTTCTGATAAGCCTTCACAGAAGGGGAGGGGGGTTGCGATACACGAAGCTTTTCCTTAGTTTACAAATTTCCCAGGAGAAATTGATAAGTCGGCCTATTCGAGGCCAGCCAGGAGTCCAATTCAGATAACCACAATTGTTGATTTATTTATTTTTGAGTAAATCAGCCTTGACTCAAATAACTTCCAACTTACGGTTTCGCTCGTAAATCAGCTGATATTGAGTCCTCAATGCACGAACCAACCTTCACATAGACAGCAGCTTAATGAGGTCCAAATTCGCTGCGACCGTCTTCTTTGTATGTTGATAAACCAGGATCCAGACTATTCCAAAAACATGAAACCTGTTATCATAAATCCAATTATATACAATTTCGGCATCCTCGATCAACAGCAGAGGTAGACACATCACCCCCAGAGATTTATCCAGCTGCATGCATGTCGTCTGAGCAGATGAGGGTTCTCCAGGATCCTGTCACTTTGTTGAAACAAATTTATAATTTACGTCGAAAGTCTAGTTGGTCAGATCCAAAACAGTAGTTTTCATTTCGGAAAGGTGTAAAAATAGGAGCTGCTCTGATACACAGACATTAATCAAAAAAGCAGGAGGAGAACAGGGAGCAGGGAGGAATGTGTGTGCCTTGTTAGAGAGCTAGTGAGAAAAAATTATTATTTTTAGCTTTGCTTTAAAGTTCTTGTTTTGTGATTTGTACATCTGTGGGTTACAATAAAGTTGAACTAAAGGCTGTATCTCTTCTTTAAACATATTTGAGGGAAATACTCCTGAGAGATCCAATAATTTTGTGTCTTTTTATGATTTTGCAGCCGAGTTAACTTTAACAAATTATTTAATAGCCATTAAAGTGAAAACAAGATTTCATGATAAAGCTGGCACCGTTTATTTTTTATTTTTTTAAATCTTTACTGATTAAAAAAAACAATACTTTTTTTATATACATAAAATGTTTTTAAAAATAATTTCTACCGTCCATCTCAGACCTGTCCCGGTCCGCCATCTGCCGGTTTCGGGGTTCGGCGTTCATGATTACATGAGGCCGGGGTCCGGGCAATAGCCTTCTGCAAGTCAGTAGCTTGTTTGTATGATCCTCCATGGCGACCAGTAGAGCTCGGAGCCCGCAGAGCACGCAAGGCTGGGATCCGGAGCCCGAGCCCTGAGTCGGCACCACGGAGGATCTTCTGCGGTGACCAACGAAGCTCGGAGCCGGGGAGATGACGCCCTGCCCGGCCTGGCTCCGGGGGAGAGGACCGGGGACACTGGCAGAGCTCCATCTAGCTCGCTCTGAATTTTGTTGTCAGCCACCAAGCACAAAAAAATGCCTGCACTTCAGCATTAGATCACGGTGTTGACATTATTGTTTTTGAAAATCTTTAAAATAGGTCCAGCCGCTGCTCTGGGTTCCGAGTAATTGCAAAAGGCGAATTGATGTTTTGAAGTTTCTGAAAGATCCAGTGACTCCTCCCCCTGACCAATCAGTGACTGATAGTGTTCTGACGTCACGTTTTGGTACCTGCTCGGCCCGGTTGGAACCACAGAGCCAAGGGTTCTAAAAAAAAGGGACCGGTTCTAAGTACCGTTACTAATGGAAAAGCCTTGGAACCGTGATGAGGCGAGTCAAGTCATGCTGTACAATTACTAATGGAAAAGGGATATAAGAGTGTCACCACTAAGCATGGGTGAGTTTCTAGCTTCAAGGTGTACCACAGATATAAAAAGTGACTATATCAATACCATTTCTTTAATGACATACCAGAAATGGGTAGTCATAATAGTTAGTCATATGTAGCACAGAATAATGCTGAGCTTTTCTACTTGAAGCTGTGAGCTACCAGTCTGCTGTGTAAAGGAGTCCAAAATAGATCATTCTCCTTAAGATTTTCCCTCATTATAAAAAAGACTGTTCGTTTTGGTTAATGTTTTTTCATTATTTTTTTTTACTACTAAAATGAATATCTGATGGTCAGGACTTGTCTACCAAAGGAGTGACACCCATCTTTTTTCATTGTAATGCTATTTTGAAGCAAATGTTTGCAACAAGCAACAAGAGTTAGCATATGCATTTGTGACATGCACAACCAGCTACAGGTTTGCAACTGAGACCAATAATCTCACTTATTAACCAGCAGTTTCCAAATCAATATTATTAAATTAGATTATACCTAATCCTCAAAATATCAATAGCTGATGACCACAAACTTAAAATTAATGTCACAAGTACATAAAATATCAGTATCATTTATCTTCTTTTGGCATTTTCCTCTTCAGGGGTCCAACAGCGAGTCATCCTCCTCCAGCTCACTCTGTCCTCACTCCAACTACCTCCATGTCCTCTCTAACTGCATCCATATATATATCATACATTATTTGGTCTTCCTCTTTGTATTTTTCCTGGCAGCTGCATTTCTAAAATCCTTCTACCAATATACCCACTGTCCCTCCTCTGGACATGTCCAAAACACTGTCCCTCCTCTGGACATGTCCAAACCATCTCAGTCTGGCTTCTCTAACTTTATCTCCCAGTTGCTTAATGTATGCTGTACCTCTGATGATCTAATTCCTAATCATCCACTCTTGTCACTCCTAAGGAGAATCTCATCTTCATTTCTGCTACTTCTAGTTCTTTCTCCAGTCTTTTTGTCAATGCCACTGTCTCCAGACCATACAATATAGCTGGTCTCACCAATGTCTTGTAAACGTTTCCTTTGACATTTGCTGACACTCTTGTCACAAGTCACACCTGAAATGTTTCTCTATCCACTCCATCCTGCCTGGACTTTCTTTTTTACCTCTTTACCACATTCCCCATTTTCCTGGATATTTGACCCCAATTACTTAAGTCATGCACCTTTGTGACGTCTGCTCCTTGTAGCCTCACTGTTCCACCAGCCTCCTTCTCATTTACACACATGCACTCTGTTTTACTATGGCTGACTTTCATTCCTCTTTTTTCAAGTGCATACCTCCACTTCTCCAACTTCTCTTCCACCTGTTCCCTGTTCTCACCACAGATTATAATGTCATCTGCAAACATCGTAGTTCAAGGGGATTCCTGCCTGACCTCATCTGTTAGTCGATCCACCACCAGAGCAAACAAGAAGGGTCTCAGAGCCGATCCTTGATACAATCCCACCTCCACCTTGAAGCTATCTGCCACTCCTAAATCACATCTCACCACTGTCCTGCTGTCCTCATACATGTCCTGTACCAGTCTAACATACTTGTCTGTCATTCCAGATTTCCTTATACAATACCACACCTCCTCCCTTGGCACCCTGTCATACGAGTTTTCTAAACCCACAAAGACACAATGAAGTTCTTTCTGACCCTCAATGTACTTCTCCATCAGAATCCTCAAAGCAAAGATGGCATTTGTGGTGCTCTTACTTAGCATGAAGCCATACTGCTGCTCACAAATAGTCACCTCTCGTCTAAGTTTAGCTTCCAAAATTCTCTCCCAGAATTTCATTGTGTGACTCATCAACTTAATTTTCCTGTAGTTGCTACAACTCTGTACATCAACCTTATTTTTAAAAATGGGCACTAGCATACTTCTCCTGCATTCCTCAGGCATTTTCTCACCCTCAAATACTGTAAGTCATTGAATATTTGAGTCAAAACCCTCACTGCCATCTCTCGAAGACATTTCCAAACCTCCACTGGTATGTCATAAGGTTCTACTGCCTTCCCCTTCATGTTTTCAGAGATTTTTGAACTGCACCCTCAATAATCTAACTTTTCCTGGTCCACGGTTTCTATGACCACTACTTTTCTTTCTCTTTTGTTCTCTTCATTTATTAGCTCCTCAAAGTACTCCTTCCATCTTCACATAGCACTCTCCTCACTCGTTAAAACATTACCATTCCTATATTTAACAAGTCTAACCTGTTGCACATTCTTTCCAGCCTGATCCCTCTTTCTCACAAATTGGTACAAGTCCTTCTCGCCCTCTTTAGTGTTTAGCCTCCCATACAACATCATACGCCTTCTGCTTTGACTTTGCTACCTCCCTCTTGGCTCTACATTTATTCTCCTTATGTCCTGTCTCCTCTCTTCAGTTCTCTCACTGTCATGTTTCTTCTTGACTAACCTCTCTCTTTGAATAGCTTCCTACTAGGGCTGGGCCATATCATATCGTTCATGATATCGGTAAAAAAAAGCTTGCCTGGGAAAATAAATGATATCATGATATGCTAATTTCATGACATAATATGTCAGGGCGCCCCACCCCATTAACAGAACCGAGCGCGCTGAACGACCAAACCGAACTGCGCATCCCCTCCACCTTTTTAGGTACTGACGTAACGCTAATTAGTTGCACACAATACTAGCTAGCTAAAAAGCTAAAAACAAACAATGCACAGCTCAGCTGTCTCTACACCCAACTCTAAACTGCGGGTACAGACAGCTCAACTGTCTCTCCCTCCCCCACCCCGCGCTAAGCTGCTGGTACAAATGTAGCTCATCTTTTTTTTCTCTCCCCAACCAGCACTGAGCCGCCAGTGTGGGCGCAGCTCGGCTCCGTCTACCCCGCTCAAACTGCTGGTACAAACATGTGCAACTCAACAGTGTCTCTTGAGTTCCACAGTCGGTCCATCCATGGACCAAGAACTGAGGCAGGTGATCAAAGACAGTGCAGTCAGAGAAATGGAATCATTCCTGCAGGAATAGAAGCTGAAACACCACAAGCTTCAGGGTCAGCTGGACACATTGTCAAGTTTTGGAAGTTATACATCATTTAAAGGCAACATATTTTTTGTTGTAGGTTACATTTATGCTCAACAGATCTTAAGCTTTAATTTTATTGTTATTTTGGGAAAATTCACCTGCACTTTAGTTTTTGTGTTGAATTTATTGATCTATATTTTGTGCCGACTTTTTCAATCTAAAAAACATAAGGATAATTTTTATTTATTTTTATACTTGGAGACTGAATACTTTACTAAATAAAGTAATTTCAGTAAAATTAACCCTTGTTTTTTTTTTTTTTATATATATATAATACTGCAAAGAAACGTGTCAAGTTAATTTTGCCAAATGAATAACTATGATTTCTGTTGTTTTTTTGGTCATATCACAAAATTTATCATTATCGTCAGAATGCACTGAAATATCACAATATTATATTTGAGCCATATCGCCCACCCCTACTTCCTACACGTCACTATTCCACCACCAGGTTTCCTTATCATCTATTCTCTGTCCAGATTACTGCCTGCATACCTAAGCCATTTCCATTCTCTTGGCAAAATCCACCACCATTTAGTTTGTATCCTGGTTTCTGTCCTTGACACAAAACCTACCCATCTTTCTTCAATGCGTCTTTCTTCACAAACATTTCCATTCAGATCTGCTCTGATCACCACTCTCTCCTCCCTAGAAATACACTATCACTTCATCTACATAATTCCAAAGTTTATGTTTCTTCACCATATCACATCTAACCTGTGGAGCATAACCACTGACAACATTTGGCATAAGACCTTCAGACACATCTCCCTATCTGACACACTTTTCACCTTTACTACATTCTTTGTCAACTCCTCATTCAGGACCACCGCTACTCCATTTCTCTTTCTATCCCAGTGTTTCCTCTACCATTATACAAGTGGAGCGCCCCACCCCATCAACGGAACCGAGCACCCTGTCTACCCAACCCCACCCCATCACCCCACTCACCTGTCAGCACTGACGTAACATTAAATTAGTGGCTCGCAATGCAGGTGCACGAGCTAAAAAGCTAATGGCAGCCTTTTCTCTCATGCTGATCCCCGCTCCCACTCCAAACTGTTGGTACAAACAGCGCACGGCTCAGATGTGCCTATGTCTCTTCACCCCCGTGGAGAAAACAAGGGGGTGTGGCATGAAGTGAAGGGAGCAGGCTTGAACTGAAGGACGAGTGATAGGCAAGCATAGAAACAGAAACTATGACAGGTGGGACTGACAGTGAGACAAAGAACAGGGGATGTGAACATGTCATGAAGGGGCAAAGATGGGGGGCCAGTGGGGGCCGCTGATCATGACATAGCCCCTCCTTTAAAGTCCGTCATCCTGACGGACAACCAGAAAAAAAAACCTAGCAAGCACTGGGTGGGTGGAGGGGGTTCGAAGGTGGGCAAGAAAAGAACTGGGTGGGTAGAGAGGGTCTTGGATGAGGGCAAATAACAGGTTGGCAGCCAGAAGGGCCATCCAGAGCAGTTCCTGGGTTCCGGTGGATGGCTCTAAGGCCATCCGGCAAGTGGCATTGTCATAGATGAATGGTCATGTGGCTATCCAATATGTGGTGATGGGACCAAATCTGTAGCAGGTGATACAGGCATGGGGGTCAGATCTGCGACAGTCGTGGAGACCTGTGACGTGGCAGCTGACATCGTGGAGGTCTGTGGAGCTGCAGCTGACGTCGTGGAGGCCTGTGGAGCGGCAGCTGACATCATGGAGGCCTGTGGAGCTGCAGCTGATGTCATGGAGGCCTGTGGAGCTGCAGCTGATGTCGTGGAGGCCTGTGGAGCTGCAGTTTACGTCGTGGAGGCCTGTGGAACTGCAGCTGACAACGTGGAGGCTTGTGGAACTGTAGCGGTCGTGGAGGCCTGTGGAGCTGCAGCAGGCTTGGGTCAAAACTACAGAAGGCGATGGGGTCAGAGCTGCAGCAGGTTTGAAAGTCATGGAATTTGCAGCCGAGCCTGGACCTGCTGCAGGCGAGGAGCAAGGTAAAGTCTCTGGGGTGGGTGTGAAAAACCTGGCACAGAACATGGTTTTGAACAGTTGCATTTGAATGTCCAGATTAGTCAAGGAGCCCTCAATCCCAGAGAACCACTCCTGTGATGGCTTTGAATCCATTTTGGCTGAATCATTCTGTCACGTTCGGGTTTTGGATTCTAGTAAGTAGAGATGCACCGATCCGATACCAATATCTGCATCCGTCCCGATAGTCGAAAAAAACTTCTGGATCGGGTATCGTGACAATGTGACCGGCCCATGACTGGGCAGATCTATTCACTCTAATTTTATGCTTTGTGATCTGAGTGACGTCACGCGCTAGCGAACTCGCTGCAGACTGATTTCAAAATGGAGTTTTGAGTTAATTCAGCACTGGGTTTGTAAGCTCAATCATCCAAGTAGACAACAACAAAAATGGCTAAATCATGTCATCTGAACCTGTTTCTGAAACAGGTACAGATGACATGATTTAGCCATTTTTGTTAATTCAGCACAGTTTTTCTGTATCAGATCGGTATCGGAGCAGTATCGACCAATATCAAACCACCAGATATCTGTATCGGAAGTGAAAAAAGTGGATTGGTGTATCCCTACTAATAAGCCAGACACAGGAGTACAAAAGAACAGCTTTTATTTATTTTGCTGCTGGATGGAGGAGTCAGGATCAGTAGTGTTAACAGGTCCTCACAGGCTGTAGGGAGAGAGTCACCTGTCAGCAATGACATCACTGGCAGAGCAACAAGGCAGAGTAAGTGATTCGTGTGGGGGGAGTCCAAGATCAGGGTCAAGATAATGAAACAGGGGTCATACACAGGGAAACAGAGAACAGAAACCAGAGCCAAGTCGCAATCCATAATCTTAGTCGTGGAGGGAGAGCAGAGTCGTTTACTGTGGTCTGATGTGCAGTCAAAATCCAAAGAGGGACGGGCAAGGTGAGGAAACCATTGTACAGGTGTGAGGTTGAGACAAGGCATGTCAAGGCCAGACAAACAAGGCTGTGGCATGTAACTATGGATGGCTTGATATCAGGGACCATTGAAGGTTTATTAATTTGGCACTGGTGGGTTGTGGACATGGAGTTTATAAAGGGCAGAAAACAGGTGGCTGGCATGAACGCCGATTGCAGAGGAGGCCTGGTGCTGAATGAATGGAGCAGGGTGAACAGGTGCATGGAATGAATGCTGATTACTGTGGAGAAAACAAGGGGGTGTGGCATGGAGTGAAGGGAGCAGGCTTGAGCTGATGGATGGGTGATAGGCAAGCATGGAAACAGAAACTATGGCAGCAGGGACTGACAGTGAGACAGGGAACAGGGGACGTGAATGTGTCATGAAGGGGCAAAGATGTGAGCAGATGGGGGGGGGGTCAGTGGGGACCGCTGATCGTTACAGTAAACTCCACCCAGAAAGGCTCCTGAACCGGGATTTGAACCGGGGCAACCTGTTCGCTGAGAGGCAGCAGTTCTACCAACTGTGCCACCATGCTGTCCCCATAGAATACAACTTTTGATAAATTATTAGCTATTCTATTTGTAAGGAACTGCTGTATATTAACTGGAATAAGTGAAATTCAGACTTTTAGTCCTTTTAAAATGATTTCAAACACTAAATAAATATTAGATTATAGATTGTTTTTTCAGCAACTAGTTTAGAAAATGTGAAATTTTCTAGCTATACTGTGTCTTTCCAGGGAAGTTTGATAATAAGAGTTCTAAGCACTTTACCAATTAGCATTTTGAACTTTTGTTTTAAACTTATTTTCTTGCTGAACACTGACCTTTGACATCTGTGAGAGTGGCTTCTGACACTCCTTCACTGAGATCGATGAGTGTCCCCTCTGATTTGCAGCGAGGTAGAGTAGGGTTGTTGGTGGTGGTGGCTCTGATCCGATGGGCAGCCATGTTGGGCCCGTCACTGTGCACCACACAGTTCCCTCTAACCACTCTGATGTACTTCAAATTTATAAGCAGTTCGACATCAACAGTTGTCCATGCTCTCTGCAAAACACAGAAGGAGTTGAGTCACACAGAGTTCATATAATTTATTATTTAAAACTTAGTAATTTTTTTAAACAAGCTTTTTAAAATATTCTCCTCTGGCTATAGCCATATTTTTCACTTTTGCTGTTAAAAGTCTTAATGTTTTTGGATCTCTGCTTTTTCGTGTCCTGTAGATTTAAGTTAGCAAGGAAATAAACAGGAAGCTATATACTGGAAGTGTATAAATAAGAGTGGGACTAAAGCTGTCTAAAAAACTTTGACGCACTTTAAAGAGTTTCAGTGTTTGCGCAGAAAATCATTCCATTGTGAGAGTTAGAGAATAATTTTAAATAGAATATCAAATGTAAGCCCTGCAACATTTATCTGGTCCATTTCATAGAATAAGATGTTGGTGTTTATGTTTATATATTTCTTATTATTTATTTCAACACATTTTGCTCCATCAGATACAGGATTTCTGAACACAATACCACAAGTGACTGACATTTGCTAATTTCAAATCTGAAAAAGTAGTTTTCGAAATATTTACAATATAAACTGTCAGATATTTACAATATAAAATGTTAGAATAAAACAAATAAAATGCATTTACCAGTCACAGATAAGATAAAGATTTCAATAAACATTTATATCACATAATTTTTAATGCCACTGATGTTTTTTATTTGCTTCAAACTCACTATAGAACTTAAAAAAGTAGGACATGACAATTGCTCTTTTGAAAATGCAGTTTCACTCCTTATAACGTAGCATTTTGTGGAAAGGTTATAAAAGTTTTATATCTTACTTTTTGTAGACAGCTCTTTGGACAACCTCAGATTGAAAAATAGTTTAATTTAACAAAACAAAACAAAAAATAGATTGCTGCCATTTTAAAACAGCTTCAGTCTCAAACACCTTATAATGGTTGATTCAGACATTATTATTTAGACCTGAACCGAATCATTAATCAAATTTTATTGGCCATGTATGCTCACACATACATGAAATTTGGTAGTGGTTACAGTGGCTCGCCATGCACTAAACTATCCCTCCACACACAGTTTTCTTTTTCATTCATTCAACCTTTATAACCTTTACCATGAGAACCGATCAACAGAGGATGCCATCTCCTCTGTGGTCCACACTGTGCTCAACCACCTAAAGCAGAAAAACTCTTACGTCCGTATGCTCTTTATGGACTTCACATCCGCCTTCAACACCATGATCCCCCAAACCCTGATGGACAAACTATCCACACTAGGACTAAACCCCTCCATTTGCAACTGGGTACTAGACTTCTTAACAAACAGACCACAGTTAGTGAGGATCCACAACTTCTCCTCCTCCACCATAACCCTCAGCACTGGCTCTCCTCAGGGATGTGTGTTGAGCCCCCTCCTGTTAACTCTGCTCACGTATGATTGTGCAGCTACACATCCAGGCTGTCACATTGTAAAGTTTGCAGATGATACAGCGGTGGTGGGATGCATCACAAACAATGATTAGTCCAGCTACAGGCAGGAGGTGGAACACCTGGAGAGCTGGTGCAAAGAGAACAACCTTCACATCAATGTGAAGACGACAAAGGAGATGATTGTGGACTTCAGAAGGAACAAAAACACTTACACCCCCCTGAACATAAGAGGATCTGCGGTGGAAGTGGTCTCCAGCTACAAGTACTTTGGTGTACACATGAATGACAAACTCAGCTGGAGCAACACCACCACCAGCCTGATCAAGAAAGCTCATCAGAGACTCTTCTTCCTCAGGTGGCTGAGAAGAGCTGGTCTGGGAGGCTCAGTCCTCACCTCCTTCCACAGGTGTGCAGTGGAGAGCATCCTGTGCTCCAGCATCAACATGTGGCATGGAGGCTGCACAGCTGCAGAAAGAAAAGCTTTGCAGAGTGGAGAAGGCTGCACAGAGGTCTGTCGGAGTCAGTCTCCCCACCATCACAGACATCTACACCTCTAGATGCAGGAAGAGGGCCACCTGCATCATGAGGGACCCCACTCACCCAGCACACACACTTTTTGTCCCGCTCCCCTCAGGGGGGAAGTTGAGGAGCATTAAGTGTAGAACCACTAGACTGAGGAACAGCTTCTACCCTGAGGCTGTTAGACTCATACCATACCATACCATACCACTTTATTTATAGAGCACTTAAAACAGCGACAAGGCCAACCAAAGTGCTGTGCAGACAAAACAACAGGTAACACACAAAGCAATATACAAAATGAGGTAAATCAGAATATAGACATAAAACTCATGGCTCATGAATCTCTAACCAGAATAATCACTGTGAAAAAAGTCACATCATGTTGTTGCTGATCTGTTTCATGTTGCTGCTGATCTGTTCGTGCGTGCTCATCTGCTCACACAGACTCATGTTCATGTTTGTGCTGATGTTCGACATAGTGTTTTTATGTTATGAGTGCTCAGTGTATATTTAGTTGATGTTTTTCTTAGTTCATATCTTAGATGTTATTACTGTTTTTCTTTTACATTTTATTGTTGGGTGTAACTGGGACCCTCTGTACATAATTTCGTTCCACCACATGTACCACATGAGGTGCGAATGACAATAAAGAAACTCTGACTCTGACTCTTTATTTAAACAGATAAATCACATTGAGCCTCAAAGACTCATTTACAAGTGAGACCTGTTTAGACAGACAAAAAAGTAATGAAACTGGACACATGTAGTGTTGTGGACTAGGCCTCCGACCAAAACCTGCCTCTGAAGACCTTCGTGGGACAGGAACTGTTATTTCATTGATTTGGATCCAGAAATACAAATGAGCTCATCCAGAGACTTTCTAATTGTATCCTGAACTAATCAATTGAAAGAACACTCTCTTTTTATATTATCATTACTATTTTACAATATCTTGATAATCAAAAGTGTGTTTAGTTCATACCATTTTTAAATGTTGAAGTGAACCACTCATTTTAAATAAACTGTGAAACAGTATTAATGATTTTTTAATCCTCATTTAAATTAGAAATCAAGTTAAATGTCTATTTTACAAAGTAATTATGCATTTTTGATCTTCTGTCTGAAATGAGAAAGAGTGATGTCGGTCAAAAGTCGGAGACAGTCAAAAACAAATTGTTAGAACGGGCTGTCGTGTTTTTAAAACTCTCAGACAGTAAATAAGAGGACTGGCACCTGCAGTGTTTCTCACTTCGCCAAAACATTTCTCTGTCTGTTCCTAAACATTTCTGCTGTTTTCTTGACTTGAAAAAAACCCTTTGACATCACTAGAACCACACCCCTGTTGGTTGCTTCAACCAATCAGGACTTACTAAAGTGACCAGAAGCAGAACTCTTTAAAAGTCGACACTTCCTGGAACTATTAGTCTTTGGAGTCGTCTGAGTCTGCTGGAGTAATGTCTTCTAGTTTTCTGAGGTTCTGGGAGAGTTCTAGCTGTTCTGGAGTTCTGGAGTTTTTCCACTGCTGAGTGGAACTTCAGACTCAGATTTCCAGGCTGATGGAGTCATCCATCCTTGCAGGAGTCATGGCGCCTCGCTGTGGCTCCACCAGGCAAATGCCCTACAACTTCTGAGGAAGTTTGTTCTGTTGAACGGAGTATCTCACGACTTGTGCTGAGTCGCAGCCGCCCCGAGGAGACGCTGAAAGGTAGCGTGCCAGGGACCTCTTGACCGTAGCGGACCCATCCTCTGCCAAGGTAAAGAGTCATCACGAGCTTCACTACAGGTGTACTGCAGGCGAACTGCGCTTGAAAGGAGCATGTTGTTCTGGTCTACAGACATACATCTTCCTCCACATCTTCCTTTAAACTCCTTCATATTTCCCATCTTTAAAACTCTTCTATCCTGCCAGTAATTAATCTAGATACTATATCTTCAGAAATGTCTGTTGTTTTTATTAAGTAAAACGTGCCAAGTTTTATTAATCAGAACCAGATCTGTCTAATCAAGTGTACAATGTTTTGATGTTAAAATTTTGATGCTGTTAATAAATGACCACCTTTATTTTGATGGGTCAAAGAAAATTAACGTCTCATGTCACTGATTAAACCATCTACGCATGGTACCTCTGTCACATGGCGGTAAGTAGCTCGAAAAAGAGAGAACTCGTTATTTTAAATATGACTGTAGTGAAGCTCTGAAGCTAACCTAGCCCTTTAAAACAATACATAAGAATTGGAGGCAAAAAAATTCCTATCAGACTCTTTCTTCTTGGCTGCAGAAGAAAAATTATAATATTAGAAAAAACACCTTGCACATACAAGCACATAGTGACATAGACATTCCACAGAGGGGGGAGACGACGAGAGTGGTGAGCATTGTCCATGGACGCTCTCGGGGGCACTGTAAGAGTTCTGAAAAGGATGAAATAATAAACCAGTTCCCTTCGTTGAGATCTGTAAACATTCTCGAGGGATGTCAGGGAATGGCCAGGGACAATGCCTATGGGAATCCAAGAGTCCTGAAATTATGACAAAATGTTTATTCAGCTGGTTTCCTCTGGTTGACAGTTTGAAATTCCTCAATGGGAGGGGGAAGGGGGGGCGAGTGTCAGATTACATGTTCTCCAGGCGAATTCAGATAAGTTGGCCTTCAAGGCCAGCCAGGGGAGCCAAATTCAAATAAACACACAGTTGTTTTGGGGACAGGCAGAACTTAACGACATCTACCTTGAGTCTGTGTTGGTCCACTCGGTTCTGAAATGTCCAAATTACATGGCCACACCGATGGAACGTGCCTGAGTAAAATCCACGAGATCTGATCCATTCTGCCAAAAGCATTTCAGTCTGGGTACTCAAGGCACAAACCAAGCCATTATAAGGCCAGCAGCATTTGCTGCCGATGACTTCCTTGAATGTAGATAAACCAGCAACCAGCTGAAACCAAAAAGCAGAAACCAGTTATCATAAATCTAATTATAAATGTGTCCTTAAAATCCACAAATGGCAGCAGAGATAGACGCATCATCAAGTCTT